GGGGAAAAAAACCAAAAATGATGTGCTGAATTAGCAAAATTTTCTGTCAAGGACTTCTTTTAAAGTGTTCAAGAACTAAGGTGTATTTGATCCAAGACATGGTATTTTCTGTTGCATCTGAAAGCTAAACATTGACTAAGGAAGATTGAATAATTAATGCTTTTGAATTGTGAAGTTGGTGAAGTGTATTAACTATACCATGGACTGCCAAAAGAACAAACAAATCTACTAGAGGAAGTGCATGCAACCAGAGTGCTCCTTAGAGGCAAGTATGATGAAACCTTATCTCATTTACTTTGATCATATTGTTAGGAGAGGCTAGTCTTGGAAAAAGAGTATCATACTGGGTAAGAGAGAAAGGCCCTCTTCTGCATGGATTGACACAGTGATAGCAGTAGTGAGCTTGACCAAGGTACAGATTGTTAGGTTAGCACAGGATAGGTCAAGGTTTTGCTCTGTTCTTAGAGTTGCTGTGAGTCTTCCTTGGCTTAATGGTACCTAACATGTTACCTTTCCTGACAACATGCCCAAAGTATGTGAGACAAAGGCTCATCATTCTTGCCTCCAAAGAGCATTCTGACTGTATTTCTTCTAGCAAAAATTTGTTTATTCTTTTGACAGTATATTCAGTACTCTTTGCCAGCACCAGTTCACAGGTTTTAATTCTCCTTTGGTCTTCCTTTTTCATTGTCCAACTTTCAGGTACATATGAAAATGGCCTGGTGAGGCACACTTTAGTATTTAAACTGTCATTCTTGTTCTTTAGAACTTTATAGAGGTCTTTGACAGCACATTTGTCCAATACAATAGATCCTTTGAAATTTTTTTTTTTGAAATATTTTTTTTTGTAATTTTTGACAAAAGTTTACATAAAAGTTGAATTTTCATTTATTCATTCCTTTTTGCACATTTTCCTCCATCTATTGATTTATTGACTGCTGCTTCCATAGGTATTGATTGTGGATCCAAGTGAAATGAAATCTGTGACAACTTTAGTCTTTGTCCACCTGTCATGCTGTTTTGCTTATTGTCCAATTTTGAGAGATGTAAGCCATACAGAAGGCTATATTGTTTGATCTTCATTATTCTTTAGTAGGTGCTTCAAGTACTCGTCACTTTTTACAGGCAAGGTTGTGTCACTTGCATATCTCAGGTTATTAATGAATCTTCCTCTAATTCTGGTGTCACTTTTTTCTTCAGAGTCTGGAGTTTCAGATTATGTGCCCAGTACATATTTTGACTAGATAAGGTAAAAAGACCTTGAAGTCAACTTTTTTTAGTATCTCCTTGTCTGGTTCAAACAGAACTGTTTCTTGGTTTGTGTATGTGTTCTGCATGAGCATAATTCAGAGTCTTTCCTATTCTCAGTATTTTCTGTAGTTTGTCATAATCCACACTGCTGATTGCTGCTGCCTGATCAGTAAAATTCAGATAAAACATCTGGTGTTTTCTTCTTTCAGCTAAGATCCATCTAACATCAGCAGTGATGTCTCTCATTCCAAGGCCTTTTCTTGGATATTAAAAAAAAAAAGTTCTTATATAGGAAACCCGGGGGAAATATGAAAGTTTTTAAAATGGTTAAGTAGTTAGAATACAGTATATGAAGCTCTGGTGGCCTAGACTATAGCTAATTATGATTTTAACCAAAAGACCATGTCTCTTCACCTATTTGAATCCATCAACAACTTCAGGAAAGAAAGATGATCAGTCTCTCATGAGATACACAGATTTGGAGACCTAATGGAAAGTGAGCTGTGAGTTGAGTTGGTTGGTTCAGGCTGGACAGCAGTGGAAGTTTTGATTAACACAGGATAGCTACAGGTAGTTATAGCTGCTGTTTCGTTTACAGAGCATATCAATCTGTATCTTACCCCCCTCCCTTCTTTTCTTTCCATATGAAGTTTGGAAGCTGAAATTCTAGAGCACTGCTAGTTAAATTTTTGGATTTGATATCATTTCCAAGTCTCAGTTCTTTTTCATTCTTGATTGTTACTCCTCTGACCACAGGCTTTGCTGTGATTTCTGTTATTGTGTGCTCTTGAATTGATTCTTACTAATGCCAACCCTGTGATCTGTAGCTACCCTTACTTGAGTCCTGCAAATCCTACCCAGGTTTCTACTTTTTTAGGATGATGAAACTACTTTTTTTTAAGCCCTCACTTAACTCATTCTTGTGTTCACAACTGTTTTCGTCTTCTGAATAATTTCTGGCTATGGAAACTTAGAAATGCTCATTTTTCCTTGTTTTTCAACTCCTGAAATATATTTGTTTGCCTATTTATTATAAGTATTGGTTCTACTCATGTTGAAGCTTATTCTCTTGACGTGTTAGTAACATCTGACTTAAGACACTTTTGTGGCTGTATGCTTAGTAGATGACAGGTTTCATAGGAATTTGTCTGCATCGCATCAATTATTTCAGTGAGCTGGGAAAAGATTTCTTCAACTTTAGTTACAATTCGTATTACTTGTGAAGTTTTTGTCTCATGTCTGACCTTTTCCCTCTCACCACTCTGTTTCTCGTTTTTTTTTGGTAAATCATTGATGACCAAAATTCTGTCTTTGGTGACTTGTTGCTCAAATTCACTAAAGAATAGCATTCACCTGGATCCTATCACTGCAGTTTTATAGTATGAAAATTTTATAGTTCAATAATATGGCACATACACTGTAATAAGTAGAGAAAGATAGTGTTTACTTGCTTACATACCTAATTTAAAAATCTCAATTCTAAAGCTTACTTGACCATAATACATTGTCTCCAGCAAAACTTTTATATACCTTTTTCTATTTTTTTAAATCAGCGTCTCACTCTTTAAATTTACAAAGGAGCTTTGTCTGTAATTCATAAAAAAGATCTTTTCTTTCAGTTTGATTTCTAATTTAAGCTATTTATTAAATTTTATTAATTTTAATGAACATTTACAGAGATTTTGGGTTCCCATTCATTGTTGCACAATTTTCTCTACCCTCCTCCCCAGTTCGTTCCTTTTTTTTTTTTAAATTTAAGCTATTCTAGGTCCTTGATTTATTAAATTATTGATTGTATAGCTACCACACTATGGAATCTTTTTTTTTTATTATAATGAAAGTTTATAGAGACTTAGGGTTTCCAGTCACTCATTGTTGTACTTTTCTCTCTGCCCACCACCTTCCCCCACTTCACTCTTCTCTTTGAAAAGTAAAAGAAAAATTCTTTCATTGTTATGCAGTCCCTCGCCCCAAGTTCACTCCACTATGCAGCTGTCATTCTGGATTCCTGTAATGACAATAATACCCAATTATATATCCCTTTTAAACAGTTCTTTACATCATCTCTTTCAATGCAGTATACATCATTCCTCCCCTCCTTCTCTGTCTTCCCTCAACCCTGATGTCAGTCCTGTTTTAAAACAGTGGCCCTATGCAATATTTTTCCTTTTGTGACTGAGATATTTCACTCAGCATGTCTTCCAGGGTTATCCATTTTGAATAATATTTCATGAGTTCCTTGTTTTTCAACATTGCATAGTAGTCCGTTGTGTGAATATACCAGAGCTTCTCTATCCATTGATTTGTTGATGGGCACTTGGGTTGTTTCTAGCTCTTTGCTGTTGCGAGCAGAGCCACAGTTAACATGGGTGTGCGTATATCTGCTTGGGTGGGGGTTATGGTTTCTTTAGGGTAAATTCCCAGTAGTGGAGTTGCTGGGTCAAATGGTATTTCTATTTGCAGCTTTTTAAGAAAGCACCACAGGTCCTTCCAAAGTGGTTGCACCATTTTACACTCCCACCAACAGTGAATAAGGGTTCCAGTTTCTCCACAACCTTGCCAGCATTTGATATTTGCTGTTCTGTTAAATTTTGCTATTCTTACTGGGGTGAGATGATATCTCATAGTTGTTTTGCACACTGTGGAATTCTTTGTTTGTTCTTCAGACTTGCTGACAAGTCTGGCCTATCACCATACTTCTTTATTATAGCTTCTATATGCACACATCCATAGTAACAGTGCCTTTATTGTTTTTGTTTTTTTTATTATAAGAAGGAAATAAACCTTAAATTAGAGCCCAGTATCTTTATTTGAACAGTTGAAGTACTGCTAGTGTAGAATATGGTTTTGTGGATCATTTAAACCTTTTTTTCTGTATTATAATTGGTGCTGCCTATCAAAGCTTTCTGGAAGCTCTCTTCAGGCTGTTTTCTAAATTTGTTCTCAGCATTGCTAGTCAAAATAATATTTTTATTCTGCCAGGAAATTTAGACATCTAGTACAAACTCCTTTTTCCCATTCTAAAACATTGAGATACATATTAGTTACGTGGTATACCTTTAGTTGTCTTCTTTCATGAAATGTGAATAAAAAAGTTTTTTCCAATTTTAATCCAGTTTGTTAATTAGGATGGTAATTTTAAAGCTTTCTTTTAATAATAGATCTTTTTCCCCCTCCCCTTAATTTAAAAATAAATTTCTTTATAAAAGAGCCCCCCTCCAGAGTTCCATCTTAATTGATTTATTATAATTTCTAGAAAATTTAAGGCCCCTCCATTGATTTTATTATTTATTTCAAGAACTGTAATTTTACAAATTAATTGATATATTAATAATAATACTTTTGTCATAGCAATAAACAATTTAGAAAATGAACTTTAAGTCTTAAACTTTGATTCAGAATGATAAAACACATTTATTAAAGTACATTTCATTTTTATATACCTTTGCTAAATAATTTGAACTCTGGGAATTTTTAAAAAATGTATTTTATAGGTACATTTTATTTATAGAGTGTGAATTGACTTTGAAGTACTTAAATATTCTGGATTTGCATAGGAGAAAGCAATAAAATACACCTAAGGGGCTTTATCTAGTCTCTTTTTTAAAAATTTTTATTATAAGGATAAAAATCAAAGAAATTGACATAGATTAAGTATTATCCAGCTCAGGTGCTATGATTGATTTTTAGAAAGCCACCATGAATGAATACTTATCTCATAACTGATCTGATTTTCTTTCACTTGATAGGAAAGAGCTCCTCTGTTTCTGAAGAGAAAGGTGACTCTGAGGATGAGAGACCAAGGAAAGGAGAACGACGATCGTCTAGGGTCAGACAGGTAACTCAGCATATCTCTCAAAGCACCCGTCGTTCTTTATGCAATGTTTGGTTATCTGTTCAGCAGACTGTTTCAAAATTTGTCTTTCTTGATTTCTATGAAGTCTCTTGTCATCTTTTCTAAATGTCAATTAAAAAAAAAAAGTTAATTTTTTCTTCTTATGAATTGGGTGAAGGTTTCCAGAGTAGATCTGTTTTTCATTCAACAAATAATACATATTTTGGTAAAAGCCTAAAAGGAAAATTGGTTTTTTATTCAATAATTCATTTCCATTTTGTTTTATGACATTAATTACGTTGTCCACAATGATTTTGAACTTTGTTCCACCATTTTCTCCCACTTTACCCAGGACTTTTTCAGGGGAGCTCTGGTGGCCTTAGTGGTAAGGAGCTGCAACTACAATCCCAGAGGCACACGGTTCAAATCCACCAGATGCTCTGCCGAGGAAGGAGAGACAATCTCCTCCTGTACCAGTCAGATCTGATTTGACGGTACACTCACACAAAAATAATAATAATAAAAAAAAACCAACCCAGGACTTTTTCAAATAATCCGTTTTCAAGTAGTCCGTAGTAATAGTAGTAGTGAGTCATCATCTAGTTATTTCTTTGAGCCTCAGGGTCAGTGAAGGCCCAGGTTCAAGTAATTATATCCATGTGTCTTGGATTTTCGGATATAGAACTTTTTGTGTGAAATATGTTATGCCAGTTGACTTTGATGTCTTTTAAGAAATGACAGTCCTGGGCAGCTATTTTCCCTCTTTTTTAAAATTTAGATCTGCTCTAGTCTTCAAATTTCCAAATACATAGATGCAAATAAACTTAATTATGAAAACTAGCAAGCTAGTCTGTATTTCCTGTGAGTATTCCATTAAATCCTTAACACATTATATGATACCATGTTAAATGAGCTGGATATAAAAGTGTAGTAGAGTGACTTTGCAAAAGAACCAAACTGACTGCCCTTGAGTTAAAGCTGACTCCTGACAAGCCCCTATCAGATTTCCAAAGCTATAAACTTACAGGAGGAGACTGCTTATCTCTTTGTCCAAGAGCAGCTGGTGGATTTGGACCACTGACCTTTTGGTTAGGACCTCTACACACAGTACCCAATACTACTAGGGTTCTTTGTGTAAAAGAAATTACAAGAAAAAGAATGAAAAGAATTAGACTAAAATAATATTGTTTAGTACTGTTGAGTTAGAACCCACCCATAGCTAACCCTCCACCAGGTTTTCAGAGGCAGTTTAATCACATGGTAGGAGATGGCCCATTTTTCTCCTGCAGAGCAGCTGATGGTTTAAAAATGCATGTCTTTGAGATTGCTGCATAGCTTCTTACCACTAAGCCCACCTTTCCTCCATGACGTGATGGTTGATCAGTTTTCTACCTTTGTTTTATTTTAAAAACATGGAGTTAAGAGATTAACTACTAGCAGCTTTAGTATTCTTTTGCTTTTGGTCATTTTTTCTGTGCCTGTTCTTCATGGACTGACATATTGCATTTACAAAAGTAGTGAAAAAATCCATCCAGCTGTTTTGTAAATTAACAAGGTGGGCACATGGTGGTTGGTGGTGGTTGCAGAACAGTCCTTCCTGTGAAGAGGCTTTCTAGCCTCTAAAAAGCTCTGCCATTGGGCCACACTGCCCCTTGCCACACCTTCATGCTGTCAGGTATGTTGAGTCCAGCTTCATGCATAGCCAGCCTGTTAGGTGACCATGACCCCTGGGCAGACATACAGGCATTCCTGAGCCAGCAGTGACTGTTCTGATTCCCAGCTCCTATGAATTTGAGGCTCTGCAGCTCAGAACTTCTAGGGAATGGGAGAAAAGAAAGTAGCATCTGGAAGGATATTTGGAAGAAATAACTGAGTTTGATGACATATCAAAGTGAACCAAACTGGACCTGAAGCCTCTGCTTTAGTGAGCCCAAGTGTGTGACCAGGCTCCAGCAACCTTGTAAGCCCAGAACCTTTGTTGGAAGGCAGAACAGGCTCAGGGAGGGAACCCTAGAGTCAGCTCTGAGAAGTAAGCTGGTTCTAGCCCAGCACCAGAGGAAGGTGAAGTGATTATGTGTCCAGTCACATAGCCAACTTTTGTCTCTTCTAAGCCACTGCCTCTGTAGAGGAATATTCCATAACTGGATTCATCTTGGTGATGAGTACACAATTAAATCTTCACTTACTATTTCTATAGTCATATTTTCTAAATAAAGAAAAAGGTAAATGAATGGTCTCAAAACATTTTTGCATAATGCAAATTTTTACATAACAACATAATTCTTGACACTTGAGTAAGGAGTGTGTTTTGATTCCCCTGAGAATCCATATTAATCGTGATTGCCTACTTTCATACCTGCCTCTCTGTTGCTGTGAGCATATATTGAATTTTTCCTTGTAAGTGTGTTTTGTGAAGTTTTAGTTTTATTTTCCTCTGTGACTGAGAGCAAATCTTTTGGGAGCCATTATGTATCTTTTATTTCAGGCAAGAGCAGCTAAACTCTCAGAGTGCAGCCAGGCTGCTGAGGAAGACGATGATCAAGAAACACCTTCCAGAAATCTGAGGGTCAGAGCAGATAGAAACTTGAAAGCAGAAGAGGAAGAAGAGGAAGAATTATTCTTCTCTTTTGAAGAGGAGGAAGAGGAAAGTGAGGGACAAAAATCTAGAGAGGCACCAATCCTGAAACAATTTGAAGAGGAAGAGGAGGAAGAAGAGGTGGCTAAAGCAAACCCAGAAGACTTGATGGATGAGAGACCCAATACTATGAGATCCCAGGAACAGGAAGGATTAGAAAGAGGAGGGAGAGTAACAAGGTCCCAAGAGGAAGCTAGAAGAATTCATCTGGCCAAACAGCAGCAAGAGAAAGAGATGAAAACCATTTCTCCCTTTGAAGAGGAGGAAAGAGAAGTAAAATCTTTGGAAGCCTTGGAGGAAAAATCAAAATCTCCATCTCCTCCTCAGTTGACTGAAGACCTAGACAAAGTCCCTCTTGTGCTACAACCAGAACAACCTGCCAGTGAAGAGGAGACTCTTCCACCTTTACTTACCAAGGAAGCCTCCTCACCACCACCTAATACACAACTCCGAAGTGAAGAAGAAGTGGAGCCCACGGAAGGCCCAGCACCCCCTGTTCTCATTCAGTTATCTCCTCCTAATACAGATGCTGAGGCCAAGGAGCTGCCAACATCTCAGCATACTGTCCAGTTGGTGAGAGGCCTGGCTTCTTTGTCAAGTCCTGCAGACACCAAAGTCGAATCTCTTGCAGAGAAAGTGCCAGAAGAGAGTGTTCTGCCTCTAGTTCCAAAAAGCACACTGGCTGAATCTTTAATACAGAAAAGTCTTGAAACTAAGTCCGAAAAATCTGCACAGCCAGTCTCCTTTAATATTGAAGAATTAGCACCAGCCAAAGGGGTCACTGAGGAATCTGTGAAACAGCCATCTTTGGAACAGAAAGAATGCAGAAGGGCTTCTCGTTCTCTTCTCCCAAGCCATGGGTCAAAACAGTCTGCTGAGTCCTCATCTTCTAGCCGGTCTTCCTCCTCTTCATCCTCTACTTCTCGATCAAGATCATGCTCTCCTGACAGCTCAGGCTCTCGATCTCACTCACCTCCACGATCTAAGCAGAGAGGTGGATCTCGGGCACGTTCTCACTCCAATCCTCGTAATAGACACAAGATGGACTCCAGATCAACATCAGAGTCCAGGTCACACTCCCGTTCTCGTTCCCGTTCAGCTTCGAGCAACAGCAGAAAAGTGAGTATGAGTGAATCCTGTGTACATTGTTGTTTGTTGAGTTTCATAGGCAAGGAAAGCCTTTCATAATTTCTGACAGAATGGAGGAAACCTCCTTTAGTCCCTAGTTCTCTCTTTATTTCTCCCTCATTTTAGTCTAATTTTGAGTTCACTAGTTTCTAAACTAGTTCTATTTTCATTCTAAGTTACTTTGATCCAAAGACACTATCTATACGCTAAATAATTTCTTGTGGGGAAGAGAGGAAGACAAAACTGCTTAAGAGTATAGACATGTCTCTCTTTCGTGCCCACCGTACCCAGTTGGAGCTTATTAAATATTATTTAATCTAGAAAGCCAGGGAGATTTCCAACTCAAAAATAAATATGGGGTTGAAAGACCCCAAGTATTGACTTGGTTAGTGAAGATTGTAAAATTTGTGGTCAGCTGTAGAATTTATACATAGAAAATAATTTACCTTGTTATATTTATTTCATTTCTTCAGTCTTCTAGCCCTCAAGTCTCCAGGGACAGCAGCACCAGCTACATGGAAACCAAAGAGTCCTCTTCTGGTCAGGAGGTTGCAACTCCATCAGTGCCACAACTACAGGTCCTTGAGCCAAAGGAGAGGACTGCCACCACCTTGTCTTCTATCCAAGTGAGGCATCTGAGCCAGTCTGAGGCACCTGAAGAAAAATGTGTGACCCAGAGGTTACAACCTGAGCGGGTAGGCTATAAGGCCTCTTCCTGACTCTTTAGGGACATGGAGGAGAGCTATGATTTTCATTTTGTCTTAACTTCAGAATTGGTGTGTTGCTCACAAGATATATGTTAGACCCCACTTAATTTCACATTGCCTGGTTTATGAAAATGTTGCATGATGTTGACAGTTCACATTTCCAGGCCTGTTGGGATTAGTTAGTTCTTCCTTAGAACTCCTTTCTTTTGGCCAAAAGGAAGCCTCTTCTCAAAAATAATTGAATTCTAATAAAATGATTATTGTTAGGTGCCTTCAAGTCACGTACAGTTGAGCCTGAGAACAACAGATCTGAACCCAGTCCTATAATTTACCATCCTCACTATCTCTGACACACTTGAACCCATTGCTGCCATCACTGTGTCAGTCCACCTGGTTGAGATTCTTCCCTTTCACGTTCCTTCACCTTCCTTCTCCAGTGAATAGTTTTCTCCTACCAACATGCCGAAAGTCCAAGACATACCTGTTTTGTTCTTTTAGCAGTCCATGGGATATCCAGTACTCTTCTCCAACACTGTAGTTCAAAGTTTTCTTCTGTCATCCTTACTCATTTTCAGCTTTCAAATGCATAACAAGTAATGAAAACGGCCATGGTCTGAATCAAATGCACCTTCGTCTTCACACTGGCATCATTGCTTCTCAGTTATTTAGCGAGGTCCCTGATTGTAGACCTTCCCAGTGAAAGGATTTTGGAGCTCTATCTTGTTGCAGACCAACGGCCCCAAAGAATAGAATAAATTTATAATAAAGAGGCAAACAGCCAGGAATGATATAGAACAGAGAGTGTGAAAAACAGGGGGCCAACAGTTCCCATGACTGAAGGCACCCAGCCATGCCTCTCTGAGTATTTATACAGAAAAACAAGGAAGTACAAAACAAAGGATAATGGTGAAATCTTTTACAGATAAGGCCAAGTTCCTCTTTATGTTAATCTCAAGAGGGAGGGATTCATTTGATAAAAACTAAGAACAATGTTGACTCCCAGGGAATGCCCTAGTGTCACAAGGAGACCTTCAGCTTGTATTAAGCCTCCCTCATTTCCCGATACAGCATTTGGTCTACTATTATTAATTTTGATATTCGGCTTCCCTCATTTCCCCCTCTTTTGTTTAAATCATAATTTTGTGATCATCAAGATGAGTATAATTTTTCTTCTTCAGGATTCATTCTTGCTTGTATATAATCAAACAAATATAAGAAAGCAAATATGAGAAAACAAAATAAGTTCACAAAAACACTTCCAATAAAACAGCATTCCTTGAGGATCAGCTTCCATTGTCATGTTGCTGTAGTCCCCATCAAAGCCAGTTTTGATTAATCTCCTTTGTCCATGCGTCCTTTGCCATTCCCTGTCACTCCTCCATCTGCCATTCTGCAGCTTCGTCCTCGTCAAAGTGTGGCCTCTTTTGACCCATCTCGGGGTTTCACGTTTCTGGAGGGCACCCACAGCAGTTCTGATCCTGTAGAGATATAAGCAAATCCTCGCCCCCACCTAATAACAAATCCCTTTTTCCATTCATTAGTTAGAGGTTCCTTATAATATATAGGCTGATTCAATTCTTTAGAGGATTGTAATACCCATTGTCTTTCAGCTGGAGTTTCTCTTTTTTCATTAGCATTTAAAAAATTTAAAGTAAATAAGGCTTTTTGTAAGAGAGTTCGAGGAGATGATATTCATCCCATTGTATCTCTCCCCCCTTCTGTTTTTTCAACTTAGTTGTAATGTTAAATTAGCCCTTTCTATTCTAGCTTGTCCTTGGGGGTTATATGAAATACCAGTAATGTGATTAATGTTCCATTTTTTAAGAAACTCTTGTGTTTTCTTAGAATTATAAGCAGGAGTATTATCAGTTTTAATACTTGATGGA